TAAAACAAACGAATATCATCAGCAAAAATTGAAGTGGTTTGAATGGCTTTACTGCAGAGCAATTACTATACTACACAATGAAATATAAATGTCACTGTCATTTGATGCTGGATGTGATGAATAAGCTGCCAGTGATCCAAATATTGAATATGAAGTCACTGAAAACAATAGTTTTGAGAATATGGTTGAGATCGTGAATATGAGCCAGATGCTGAATGTACTGTGGAAGTACGCTCTGACGATGACAGCGATGGTAAAATCATCTGCTCAAATTAAACCCTTTTAAGTTTCAAAAGGAAACGAAATATGCTTTATTTTATTATTCTGTAACTGTTCTTAAAATATCAAGATAATTTTTTACTATTGCAGTAGTTAGAGGTCCATCTGTGCTGGATATATAGGTCCGGGTCGCTAAAGACCCGAATATGTAATAATGATTGGCGAAACATTAATGCATTTAAGGGTTAAAGCTACAGTACATTTTGTTTGCTTTTTGTCATTCTTTGCTTTTCTCATTTAACACAATTAGGCTATATGACTTTAAAATATCTTTTGAGGGTACTTTTTTTTTTCCTTTTTAAAAACATAACATAAACTTAAATGATAGTCAGTGCTCGAATTGAGGGGGGCTGGGGGGATCCGGGACCCCCCATAAGAAGTAAAAAAAAAAAAAATAGACTTTGGCGGGGTAGCCCAAAATATTTTATATTAGTATCGACAACAAAGACAAATCTGAAAATCTCGTTTCTCATGCCCGCTCCGTGTGTCTGCTGGGCGGCGATCAAACGGACAGGGCAGCGCTTTTCACGAGCGGAGATTGCTACTAGACGAATCATGTCATTTGTTATTTTTTATCTCTGTTCTTTTGTCGTAAATTATGCTATTACTCCATTAATTTATACTAACCTATCCAGCGCTCCCTGAACGCAGTCGCTGGCTTATTGCCAGTCAAGCGCAAGCACACTGCAGGGACGCGTCTATAACAACTTTGATCGGATCATAAAGTCTTTCCGAGTCACAGGGCTCAAGTCCAAGTCAAGTCTCGAGTCATTGCTGTCAAAGTCTAAGTCGAGTCTCAAGTCTTCTTTAATTATTTCGAGTCGAGTCGCAAGTCATCAAATTTGGGACTCGAGTCCGAGTCAAGTCTCGAATCAAGTGACTTGAGTCCACACCCCTGCATCTAGTCTGTAAAAACGACATCTCTGAGTGAAATGTCTCATGTAACTGCACTTATTTCCCCTAAAATTAGCCATTACTCACCCTCAAGACGTTCTTTTTGGCATGGAACATAAAAATAACCTAGCAGAACAAGGTTACAAGCTGACCGTTTGGTCACCACATCCACTTTCATTTATATCTCTTCAGGATGTATATAGAAGATACAGAGAGAATAAGTGACACTCAGGAAAAAAATGTGCTAAAAATTGTACTCTTAGGGGCATGACAGTTCGTCACTGGGATGATATCCTCAAAGAAACAGTTTTGTACTTTATCTACCCCTGAACGGTTCATAGTAGTACCTTAAGGTG